CTTATGCAGATAAAGTGATCTCTTTCTTAAAATTTTTAAAAATTGAGAATTCATATAATTAAAGAAATAAATTGCCAGACTGCAAAATCATATGCTGTCTTGCACAGATGGGTGACTTTGTGAAGTTATAGCGTAAAAAGTAGTAAAGTAAAATGTCCAAGTTATAAATAAGTGCCTTTTCACATTTACATCTTGTTCAGTTCAATAGATTTATTATGTAACCAAATTACATATGTTAGTAAAATATTTCTTGTATTCTTACTCATGAACTCTTTTATGGCCATTTTTGGAGTACATACTCTTCTGTTAATATGGGTTTCTTATTTAAGTTAATACTATTTTTTTGCTTTAGGCTTTAAACATTTACTATCATTGTTGACAGAATATTAGGCAAGTAGTAGATACTTAATAAATATTTACTGGTTTAATGATTTTTAAAGAGAATTCAGTGCTATCTTTGTTCCTTATTGGCTAAGGTAGATGAGTTCTATGACTGAACGTAAGGTCTACAAATGTATGTAATGACTGTTGTGCATTTTATTGTCCTTTTCATTCTTACGTGAGTAAAATTTGGATTTTATTTTATTTTTTTTAACTTTTTCAAGTACAGTGGTGGCAGAGAAAATGTCCATCATAGCATTGATTGGATTAAATTAATTTGTTTTTAATAGCTTCACAGAATAACATGATTTTGCCCCATTTGGTTTTATATTCTACCTTTTTTTCCACAATGATCTATACCTGTTTACCTGTGTAAAGGCTTTTATTCAGTTATCCTTTTATTACCGTATTAGTGAATTAAAGGCAAGTCTAGTGTAACTGTCCATTCACTATTACGTATCTGGAAGCAAGGACTATTGTGAAACCTTTGATTGTAGAGAGCCTAGAATGGTTACTGAAGAAACTTTCGTAATTGAAAATTGTTTGGCTTGAAAGTCACTTTAAAAAAGAGAGTATCTGTACAAGTGTCTTTACTTCTTGTTATTTGTAAATGGAATTGATTAAACTAGTTGTTTTTATGGCATCAAGTTTACATTCTAGTGTTTATAATTATATTTTGAAAGCAGAAAGAAGAAGAGGGGAAAAGCTTGAATTCATAAGAATGTTTATATCCTGAAGCTTTTTTTTGGAAGAATATGTGGCACTTTTTATCCTGAAATATATTCAAAGCTTTTTCTACATAAACTTGATCGTAACAGTTTTTTTCTATTAACTTATTCTTGCCATGTGTTCACAAACCTGAGTCTACTAAAATATGGATATAACAGTTGTAAATATAAATGCTAAATGGAAGTGCCATTACAAATGAAGTATAAGAAACATCTTTATCATCAAAACTAAAATCTTATTTCATATCCTCTTTTCATTGCTAACAATTTGTTCTGGCAAAATTCTTTTTAACTTAAGTCATTATTGTTTATTAGCATATGATAACGTGTGTACATTTCCACAAATATGCCCAACTTTTACATTCTTTATTTCATATCAGAGAAACAAGCTTGAAAAATAACTCTTGGTATTGAGAATTGTAACAGTGAGATTTCATTTTACTCAAATGAACAAGTTTTCATCTTTATAGCCCATTTATGAGAATGTCTTTGTGTTACCAAATTGTAAAAGAAATTTCCTATAAGTCTAATTTCAAATATTTGAAAACTAAAGGACTCTGAATATTATTGTACAGTGGTTAATAGCTGTAATTCAATAGTTGTAGCATCATATAGTATAGCTACAAATATAACAAAAGTCTTAATATATAAGTTATAATTTAGAGTACACTTAAGTTTACTACTTACATTTAATCATTAACAAATTAAAATATTAAGTGTTCTACATTAATTAAAAACATCTTAAATAGTGAAAATAAACCATGGGAGAGTTTCTATGAGTGGAGAAAACTTTTCTATTTAATAGTTAAGATTCAAAGAATAATTGCTTTTTATTCTAGAGTTTCAACCTAATTGTAGTGAGATGGGTTAAAGATTAGTTAGTTACACTGGGATTTTGTTTGTATATACACACCATGTAAATGCTAAATTTAATCTATGACATATGTATATTAAAATGTGTTGGACTTTATTGATTTACTCTATCAGTACAGCAAAATTGTATACATTCATATATTATAAACATATATTTCTTTATAGTATTGTTAGAGAAGAGATTACTACAGCTTACTATTTCTTGTCTATTTAGGTTTTAGCAAAATATACATTTTTTCTGTATTTATTTGAAGTATATTCTCCTATAGAGAAAAACTTCTAACTATATTTATAATCTCATACTTTTAAAAATCACATTTTATCTGTTTCATGTTAAGTTTTAATCTCAGTAGGTAAAAAGATAATTTAGTAGTGTAATGTCAGTCATATTCTTCATAATTCTGAGCTATTTTGAAATTTAATAGACTCATAGTTTCAGGTTCTAAAACTACACTTTCAGTTATGTATTTCTTCATTCCTGAAATGGAATTCTGATAAACTTTATGCACACTAGGTGGTATAAAGTCATGCTGTATAAAGTTACACTTTTCGATGATTTTCTTTCTTCTTAAGTTTAATTTTAAATGACAATTGTGAATGGAATATAGCATTATATGGGATAACCAAAAGCATTTTACATTGATTTTAAAAGTCTCCCTTACCAGAAAAAATATCATGGAAGAATTACTTAGATTATAGAAAAACCTATTGATGCAAGATATAGAATCCAAGAGCCATAACTGAAGGCTTTAACAATTCAACATGTGAAATTAGCATATATGCCAAAAAAATGCCCTTGAGTAAAGAGATAAACCAAAATTTTTGCAAAACACATCATAAACACAGGGCTAACTTCCTTAGTATATAAAGAGCATTTAAATTCAGTGAGAAAAGACTGATAACTTAATAGAAAAATGGGCAGACAACTTTGATAAACAATTCTGAGAAAAAATACAGAACATTTCAACATAGAAAAAGATGTCTAACTTTACACATAATTTTAAAATGCTTTTTAAAAACCATAGTAAAATACCAGTTTTAATCTGTCAGATTAACAGAACTATGTGGTATTGTAAAATAATGTCTGTAATAGAAAGAAGCAAGAAATAATTTTGAATTTCCAATGATGAACTGGACGAACAAATTACACTACATTTATAAAATGGATTCAGACTATTTGGAATTTGAAACTTATGGTACTGGTTGCTTTTGAGAGGGCCTGAAAGATAGTGAGCTTGATTACAAAAGAACTTAATTTTTAATTTTTATTCTTTATGTTTTTTGTTTTTTCTTTGCCATGTTTATGGGTTCTTTAAACATACAAAGCAAGTTTAAAGCAATAAAACTCTTAAGTTAGTAGAACATCTCAGTAAATACTACTTCAACATCTCCTATATACCACAACATTCTTGAGCATGCTGGCAATATAAAGATGGATACAATACTGTCCCAACTCTTTTTAAAAACCAGTAAGGCAGTACCAATTTGTAAGTAGGGTAAAACTCAATATAGTTGGTACTCTGTTAGAAATGGGTCCTGGAAGGATGCATATCACTTTGTAGATCTCAGTGTGGTTTATATACTACAAGTTGATAGAGCTTCACAAAAACCTTATGAAATAGAACATAGAAAAAAATATGTCCAGAAAAAAATAAAAGATAAGCGCATTTCCTGTACTTACTCATTTAATGCCACAGCAACCATAGGAAATAGGTACCATTATCATCCCCATTTTATAAAGGACATGGTGAAATTAAACCTAAGTTCCTCGCTGTCCTCACTCTTAATACCTAAACTGTTCTGCTCGAACTTTATTCAGTTATCTGAATTCATGTCTACTTTGCAAACATGAGACTCAGTTTAAATAATTAGTTCAAGATTATAATGCCAGTACTCCTCTGCCACAGAGCCATTTTGATAGTGCACCCTCTTGTGATAAGTACTAATGACAAATCACAGACTGTGTGGTTTCTCTAAGAAAACAATGGCAGTGAAAAGAACTTACTTCCTTTTTATGAAAATATTTCCTCTACTCAAGTAGTACCAAATAAGTTGTTTTGCTTAGTAACTTTGATATGACTTCTTAAGAAATTTTCAATATTACTGGATAAAAAACTGATACTCACTTAAACCTCGTTTCTGCTTTATGAAAAGACTGTCAGCAATCCAGAATGAAGGCTGTGCTAACAAAATTCCAACTTTTCTGTGGGATGATCCAAAAACAGCAAACAGAACGCATTAAATTTCTTAACAGTGGCAAGTGTGTACATGCATGCTATGCCATTCCTGTGATTAGCTGCTTTTTGGTGTGCATAGATTAGAGTTGGAATACTTTGATTTTCAAGCATGTTCCATAGGTAATTTTTTAGATAGAAAAAACAAGCGGAGTAACTTAAGAGCGTGTGAGATCTGTGTACTACATTTATATAGCTCTAAACTGAATATATGTGTTTAGTCTGATTTTAGAACATTTGCCTTGACAATGTATCTTCATATGTCAAAGACATTTGCTGGATTAAGATCCTGAATTGTTTCTCTTGCTGTGTTCAGAAGCAGGTTTATACAAGTACTCTGATGAGAAACAGAGAATATGAAGTACATATAATGATCATTAAATTAAGAGGAGGCATAGTTCACTGTGTTAAGCAATATTTAATCTCGTTTCTTCCATAATCCTATCTCAGTCTTAGTAGCCTTAGTGACAGACTCAAAAGCCAATACCAGGATTATTAAAAAACTTGTTAAAAAGCAAATGTCTAAGCTAAAGAAACAAATGTATGCAGAAATAAGGAGTCATTCTGTTTACCTAGAGTTTTCCTGAGCTATCTTCACTTCCATGACATTTCACTAAAATATCATAGAACACAGTATGTATTAACATGGCATTTGATGATGAACCCTATTCTACTTTATGTATCATTTTCACCCATTTAGTAGAATGGCAATGAGTGGAAAAGAGATGTAGGTGATATTACATAACATGTATTTAAAATGTATTTTCTTCTTTTCAAATTACAGCAAACTCAGTAAAACTAGAAATGCAGAGTGATGAAGAGTGTGACAGGAAACCCCTGAGCCGTGAAGATGAGATCAGGGGCCATGATGAGGGTAGCAGCCTAGAAGAACCCCTAATTGAGAGCAGCGAGGTGGCTGACAACAGGAAAGTCCAGGAGCTTCAAGGCGAGGGAGGAATCCGGCTTCCGAATGGTAAACTGAAATGTGACGTCTGTGGCATGGTTTGCATTGGGCCCAATGTGCTTATGGTACATAAAAGGAGTCACACTGGTAAGCAGCTGAAAGAATAACCTGATGACTGCCTGTGACATCTGATGTTGATATTACCTGACATCTATTCTCTTTCCTTTTTATTCAGGGGTGGCAGTGGTGAAAACTACCTTTTCAGAATTCTGCTAGTATTGGATTGCAGAAAAACAGAGAGTAGCCTGGGTCTTGACTTCCAGCCTTCAAATCTGAATAGCATATCAGAAAAGAAGTTTGGGATTCAGTTTCCACAGTTCTTAATATAGCAATAATATGATAAGGGTTCAAAAGGTATAGGAGAATTTCATTGTGTAACTTAATTTTTTTGTATTTCTATACATATTTTACCATACCCATGGGCAGGTAATATAGTTTGCTAGATAAGAGTTTATACTACAAAATGGCACTCATGCATTTATATAAGTGAATAATTTTCACTTTATGCAGTTAACTCCTTGGAATACAATTTCTAATCAATCTCTGCCTACCACAGGTCTCACTAGCAGGCAGGTGCTTTTGTAGTTCAGGGATGCTACCATCTTTCTGTAATTGTTGGTTATAACTCCTGCAAGGATATATATAGGATTGAATACGACAAATAGTGGCTGGTGTGTAGGTTGGAATATGTAATTCTGGCATAGAGTAAGGAAAAAGCCCTCAGATTAACTCATACTATATTTTTAAACATTTGACAGGTGAAAAGTTTTTCATGAAAACTAACCAAATGAGAAGGCCTTACTTAAATCTTTTTAAACCCTTTGCCAATTTTTTTTTCTTAAAAACCAACAGAAATGAGATAGTAAGTGGTAAGCTAGGAGGATCATTGACTCTTAACAAAAGAAGTTTCAAGTTCATGTGAAAATTAGTTTAATGGTAATGATGGCTTTCACTATAATGCAAAGTAGTAGTGTACAGTAAAATATTAATAACTAATATTCTCAGAGTTTTAAAAAACACTCGGAAGAAATATAAATCACAATAAATTTATTTAAAAGTTTTATTTCTAAATAGCTTAATAATTACATGCTTAAAGCATTAAAGATACAAGGTAGGTCAAAGTCTTTATTAATTTGAACCTTTCATAATACACATGAAGAAACAGTCATGTGATTTGTCCATTATCCCTTATGTTGGTAAAGGCATTGCTGAAGCTAGAACCAGGGTTTTCTGATGCCCATACTGGTTTTGTTCAGACACACTATTGCTTGGTATGTCAGTATACCAATAATTTATTATAAGGTATAACTGTAAACTAAGACTGATATTTTAAACATTACAGTGAGAAGTTATACATTAAAATCAGTGTTATCATAATCAAAATCATCAGCTTTAGAACATATTTACTTGTTCCAATCATATAGTCAATTACATTTTGCTTTTCGGTTTATCTCCTTTTTAAACAGCACCATGTTTTAAAGATATTTATATTACTAGTGTATTTTTTTTTCTTTAATTTTTAAAAGTATCTTAGAAAAAGCTGAAAGATGAAGCTTGGTATCTACTTGATAAAAAGAAAAGGGAAAAGCCTATAAAATAATCTACTTTTCATCTATGCTCATGAGCTAATTCTAACAACACTTCTAAAAACAAGTTTCACAAAGTTATAATATATTCATTATGTAAGAGTGATTATATTAAGGACGATAATACTCATTCAAATGTGTAACTTCTCCTGTCTAGTAAAATACAAACAAAACAGTCAGTCTAATGGTTTTTCAGTTGAATTGCATGCAATGTTAAATTTTAAGCTAAAAAATAAACTAAAAACAGTATTTAGAAGATTTTTAATTAATCTTTTATGTTCTGAATTAAGAAAATTCAGAAAACCAGAGTACAGTTTTTAGAAAATTTAGGTTAATCAGTGATTCAATGTGATATAATAATATTCATGAAGATTGTTAATTTGTAAATACAATAATAATTATATACCTACTCTACTGTCCTTTTGATATTTACTAGAGTGGTAGAGTTGAATTATTTTATTTTTGAAGATAATCTAATTGGCATAATAAAGTTTATAAACAGTTATACAGATTTCCACAAATCCTAGGAATACGAGACTCACTCAACTAATAACAGCAAGGAGTATGTTAAAGTACACTTGCAACACTATCTTTTTTGTCAATCAGTGTTTATTGGAGTATTGTGCAAATTATTACACTTTCTTCAGATCTAGATTTTTCTTAAAGTTAATAGCCATTTACGGAGAAACTGTGATATCTGTCATGCTTTGTCAACTTTGAAATTGTGGATATGATATCTTTAAACTAGACACTTAAACATATTTCTGATGATCCAGTTTATACATCTGATTGTGTCCTGCCATTTTCAACACCACTTTAGTACCATTTTAAGACTAGAAAGTCTATTTGCATTTCTTTAATTTAAACTAGATTGAGAAAAATGTAGTCAGAATCTAGTCATTCGCCAAATGTTTTCTCCTTAATACCGTGAACTAGCCTGCATTTTAGAACTTCCCACTCTTACCAGTTTATCTCTAATATTAAAGGCACTGTCTTAAAACCTTATAATGCCTTTGAGAAACATATTTTTTAGTGTTTTTAGTTCATAGAATATCTAGTGTAATTTTTTTTTCTTTTTTTTGAGATGGAGTCTTGCTCTGTCGCCCAGGCTGGAGTGCAGTAGTACAATCTCAGATCATTGCAACCTCCGCATCCCGTGTTCAAGTGATCCTCCTGCCTCAGCCTCCCAAGTAGCTGGGATTACAGGTGCCCACCACTGTGCCCAGCTAATTTTTGTATTTTTAGTAGAGACGGGGTTTCACCATGTTGATCGGGCTGGTCTCAAGCTCCTGACCTCAGGTGATCCACCCACCTTGACCTCCAAAGTGCTAGGATTACAGGTGTGAGCCACCGCACCTGGCCTCTAATATAAAATTGATAGTGAAAAATGATGGAGAACCACCCACTTCATTACAACATCATGGAGCATCAGATTGAATCCGCTCTTCTTCTTTCTCTGTCATACTCTACTAAAGTACCAATTGCAGTGTCTTATTAATGACTTCATTTTATTTATTTGATGTTGCTACTTTAGTAAGTAATCAGGTAATATTGTCATCGGATAGTCCAGGCACTCTTCACTGGGAATATAGAAAGAAGAGTAAAAAAAATAGAGATAGTGAATCAATTCATGCATGAACACATATAGATTGGACATTATAAATGTAGAATTTCTTTAATTTTACCTTTCTTTAATCTACTCCCATCTTTGTAACTCAGTTTTCAGCACCATACATTGCAGCTTTGTGCAGCCATCCTCTTGCTCAGAGGCACTCAACAGATGCTTGGGATTCTGCATATTTGTAGGTTGTTGTTCCACCCAACATAGGAGCACCCCCTGTCTTTGATTCACCAAAGCAAATTGATGCATATATATTTGCATTTTAATTGAATATTTAAACGCAGATTGAGAAATAGGTGTTTATGAAGGTACATAAAATATCGAAATATAAGATATTCCATAACAAAAATAATATATAATCTCACCCAGTCAATAAATAAAAATGGACCAGTAGATTGGTATATTGGATTTAAAAATAAAAACAAAACAACAGATTCAGATATGGACATGAAGGACACATGACCATATTGTAATTGTTTTCCTGGATCCAGTTGTATTAGTCTAGATTTTTGTGCCTACCAGGGGAAAGATTAGTCATTACGGTTATAACAAACTACTTAATGTTTTCAGCTTGGATTGCTCCATTAATGTAGTTAGTAAATTTGTGAGGTTTTCTTAAAATTTCCTTTGATATACATATAAAGAACATGATTAATATTTTTTTCAGGCAATCTCTAAACTGACTCAGAAAGGGCCCCATTGATGCCGTCCATTTAAAAACAAATTATTTACAAGAAATAACTGAGATATGTTGTTTTAAAGTGACATAGACAGTATGGAGTTTTTGCATATGTACTATTTGCATAGAGAAAAGATAGTTAACTGAACCTTTTACTTAATTATCAGATAATTTTACATTTATCTCTGTAATGCCTAGGCCAGGAAATACCCCACGACATTGAAAAAAAGGGCTGCTAATGTTTTATAGAAATAACTATCAAAAATTGAGTCAATTCACTTTTTATTTGTTATTAGACAGATATGGATATTACTTCTATATTTGGATTATTCCTGGAATATAACTATGTATACTTTTAGAAATCTCATAAATTACCCTCTGTTTTAATCCTTGTTTCTAACAGTATTGTCATTGAAGATTTCATTATGATTCCAACTAACTTTAGTTTGGAGCACAGTAAAACAAATGGACTCTAGAAATGATAATTATCTTTTCATACAATCAAGACATCAATAGGAGTTAGGCAAATAAAATGAGGAAAGCCATAAAATTAGTATCCAAATGTAAAAAGCATCAAGACTTATAATTCAAATAAATATCTCCCAAAGCCTTATCTTATTGAAATTAAAATGTATTGTTTTCAATGCCCCTTTTCTCTTACCAGAAAAAGGAAGAAAACTAGTTACCTTCATCATGCCTTGTTCTTCTTTACTTCCCATGTCCATGGGAACTTACCAAAGGCTTCCATAGTATGACTTCCACACTGAGCAACCGGACAGTATATCCAGATATACCTAGAACACCTTTTGTTTCTTCTACCCTATTTGGGGATGATCATATAAATTCAGAAGTACTTTCTTATTAAAAAGATTTGAAGATATCTGTAGTATTTTGTAAATGTAAAAACTAAATTACCCTGTCATTAATCTCATAAAACTCAATTAGGTGAATTTTAAAATTCCTTTTAAAAAAGATACTATTGTTTCATTTTTAGACTAGCATTATTTTTGAATAATGAACTACTCTAAATTAGGGATTTTGAAATATTTCAACCCAAACATTGTAGGAGGTTTAAAGGAAATCTGAGTCAGCATGCTATAGGAGTATTATCTCTTTTTGTTTGTTGTTTTGTTTTGTTGTTGTTGTTGAGATGGAGTCTCGCTGTGTCGCCCAGGCTGGAGTGCAGTAGTGCAACTTGGCTCACTGCAACCTCTGCCTCCCGGGTTCACACGATTCTACTGCCTCAGCCTCCCGAGTAGCTGGGACTATAGGCACCCGCCACCATGCCTGGCTAATTTTTGTATTTTTAGTAGAGACGGGGTTTCATTATGTTGGTCAGTCTGGTCTCGAACTCCTGACCTCTTGATCCCCCCGCCTTGTCCTCCCAAAGTCCTGGGATTACAGGTGTGAGCCACTGCGACTGACCAGGAGTATTATCTAAAGGTAGACATGATTTCAAATTGTTCACCACACTTAGTAATTTAACTCTTTTGTAAAGTTATTGTGAACGAATTTGCAGCTTGCTTGGGAAACCTTACATAGACAGATTTTAAAAGTAAAATCAAATATGTGGAGTGAAAAGTATAATATATATTTGCTATTTTCCTTTTTCTTTAAAAATTTAATTTGTGAAAGAAGTGCCTCCGCCTTTCCTTTTAATACTATGTAATTATGTGGCAGGGGTAGGGAGTGGAAAATTCTTGATTTAAAAAGATGCAGCCTGTGATTCCATTAGGAAAGAGAATCAAATAATTAAGTTGTATATTATGTGTAAAATAAAAAAGATCTGCCAAAATTTGATTTATTTTAAAACCTTATGTTGGAAGACTTTATATGAGGAGACATAGATCTTACCAGGTTAATCAAACTAAAGAAGATACCACTTAAGGGAACTTTAACATTATAGATAATTTTTTTTCAATCCAATATTATCAATATAGGACCTCTTGTATATGTAGCTCATAAGAGCTCCAGATTTCTTAAGAAAAAACCTTAACCCCCACCACAGACACAGATTATACCTTTTTGGTATGTACCTCATTAAGTTCCTAAAACACTAAGTACTACAGAATTTGAGATGTACCTGATCTATCAATTTTTAAATTTATCTAGGTTTTATAAACAAATCTATATGACAGAATTTGCAGTAGCTGCTGCCAGAAAGTGACCATAGTTTGTCTTCTTTATACCTCTTAGCTTTCTTTAATTTATTAAAGAAATCATTGAGTTTGCCTTATGTCAAAGGGCCAAAAGATCTTGAGTTTTTATTATTCACTATTATTATGTGTGTTTCAGTTAAAGATATAGGAAACATGACATTTCAATGTAAGCTTTTTGAAAAACTATTAAAATTACAATCATCATCTAGCCTCAGGAACAGAAATGGTCTGGTTCAACCAAAAGGGAATTGTTTTGTAATGTTCTTTTTATTCTAAACTTAGAACTTTAGTATGATACATTTTTACTATTTACTTATATTTGAATTTATATTTTACTTTGTGTATATATTTAGAGATAGGTGAATTTAAAATAGCATTTTCTTTATGGTTTGATAATGCTATCAATTTGATCCTACGTGCCAGTTGTACTGCTTCATTGCCTACATGTTTTTATATTTGATGACACTGGTGAGTCAGTTGATGGCAACAGACCAAACTTAGAATTGAGGCTTAAAAACTTTATAGCAATATCAGTAATAGAAAAACGGGGAGAAAAGATTCCTTTCAAACAATAATTTTCATGAAACAGGTATATAGGAAATGTCTGGGTGAATAATTTTATTTGGAAATTTTGCTAAAGTTTTTACTATTAGTGACCAGGAGAATCAAGAAACTTGATTTCTTTGTGCTAATGAGCTTTGTAAGTGGGTTCATTTGCTTTACCTTTTAGTTGCCCCTTTCCACATTAGCTAAATGAGGGAGTTAGACTGAAGGTCTCTTTCAGCTCAATTTTTCTGCCAATTTTAAAGAGATAGCTTGGTAAAATAAAGAGAACAAGATTTTGTAGCCAAACTGACCAAGTTCATTTCTCACCTTGACTACTTTCTAGTTCTGTGTAATAAAATACTTTGATCTATGAACTTTTCTTCATTTGTTAATTGAAATTAATACTACCTAATTATTGTCATTGTAAGAAAGGATTGAAATATTCTGTGGAAAGCATACAATTGTGTGTAAGTCAGTAAAGTGACAGCACCTCATTGTTCAACCAATGGTAAATGCTGTTATTGTTATTCTTATGAGTCAATGATAGGACTTCTGTCACATTTATACATAGAAGGGAAAAGATCATTTGATGTAAAACTTGAGACATTGGTAACTGTATTAGCAAAGCAAATTCTAGGAAGATAAATGTTTAAAAGACTTATGAGGGAGATGAGCATTTTTAGCATAGAGAACTGGCTTTGGTTAACAGTGGATGGCAAATTAGTCACTTGCACATACCCTAGTTGAACCTTCCCATTTCTTCTCCTTGCTGCAGGTGAACGCCCCTTCCACTGTAACCAGTGTGGAGCTTCTTTTACTCAGAAGGGCAACCTTCTGAGACACATAAAGTTACACTCTGGAGAGAAGCCGTTCAAATGTCCTTTCTGTAGCTACGCCTGTAGAAGAAGGGACGCCCTCACAGGACACCTCAGGACCCACTCTGGTAAGTGTCACCAACTCCTTGAGAAGAAAAGTAAAACGGGAAAATTTAGAAGAGTACTACTGGATGGTAGTAACATGGCTTTGGCATGTAGTTAGTGATGACCAGGACAATATTGTTATTGATATACATTAGATAATTGATAAATCTATCAGGATGCATGTGTCTTTCATCTTTAGACTTTCAGGCTTGGCAAAAAGAAGCACTGTCAACTGGAGAGTATCTTACTTCGATATATTAGAATAAGAAAGCAGCTGTTATATATTTTCTGTGATTTTAAAATTTTAAGAATGCAGTCATTATAGTTAATCCAGCATAAGTGAAGATCCATTATAATATCAGTTATGTTTCGAGTTACTATAGAGGAACTAAAAACTGATTTTTTTTTTTTTTGACTGATACAGTGCTCAGGCTGGTATCTCTGTGGAAAATAAAATGGTTTCTTTTGAACTTGAAAATATACTCAGAAAATTGGCCGTTGGAGTATTTTATATTCTAATTTTAACTCTCCTTGTATCTTTAGCTCTCAAACTATAGTCGTTGGGTACTCTGAAACTTTGCTGTGTTTCATAAATCATTAAAAAAAATCTAGAATATGACAAGTTCTTGGGAATAAAAGAAAAAAATCTGAAATAAATTTAATGTTTTTAAGAAATGCCAGAATATAACACATAAAAGAGAAAGAATGATCAGAAATCCAAATGAATCTCATTTGACTTTTAGCATAAATTTTCATAATCAAGAAGTTAAACATGGAAAATTAATACAGAATACTCTCAAGCCAGTTTTATTTGTTTCTTCTGTTCATAATGACATACTAAATTTTAATTTTAATATGAAGATATGATGGAAGTGATATTTTAATCTACATTGACAAATCGTATTGGAGAGTGCTGAGGTTGTGGGATAATGCTTATTGTATTATCTCTCGTATTACATTTTTCCTTTTCATCTTTAAGGCTATACTGAGTTTTTAAACATGAATGTGAATTGTGTAAAACTATTTTAAACATTAACTCTTAAATTTAGGGCAGTTACAAAAATTAAATTAATGCAAACATGGAAACAAAATATTTTAAGTATATATTTTTCTTTCCTCCTTGAGTTAAAGGAATTCACTTATTTCCAACTACAACATTTTATGTCTTATTTTAAAATTATGCTATCAAAACTATATCTTAAAGCAGTGTTTTATTATGAAAAGTTTTATTGAAAAATATTTTTAGGACATGACAGGCATTTCCTTTAACTTGTCATGTACTCTAGCCAGAGTTAAATTATTGCTGAGTTATCCAAAGATTATATAACAAATAGATCTTCATGAACATATATTTTTGCCTCGACTTCATGTAATAAATAACTGTACACATCCATCTTATTTTTGTTGAAATTGTGTTGTTTTTAATATCATGGTTTTGTGTGTGCATATTATGTAATCTGTCTTAATAAATAAAGACATGGTCCTTATAACTGCCATCGTGCTCATTTTGCAATTTTAGTATACCAAGTTATGATTTTTGCAGATATATAAATAGATATATTCAAATTGGGTAATTCAAGAGAGTTTAATGGAGTCATTGTTGGAGAGGGGGCATCCAGCTACTGCATCACTAAGAGCTGATACCAATTCAATCATGCTTTCAACTGGAATCTAAAATACTAGCCATCCCTAATGTTCTTCATAATAGATAGAACATAAAACAGAGTTGCTATAGTTTTTGCTTCTCTAATTTGCCAGAAAGCTCAAAATTGATCATTATAGTTCTCTTCTTCCATTCAAATACATCTTCTCTTACTCTTACTCTCTTTAGCACATCGGCTAAATAAGGTTCTTTATCTAATAGGTGACTCAAATTTTATAGGTTCTGAGTCTTTGGTGGTCCTGTCTTTCTTATATTGCTACAGGTTTTCAATAACCAAAATTATTAGATAAGTATTTCAAAAGATATGCCCCAGTAAATCCCCTGAGTTCCAAGTGTAGTTCTTATCCTCAATGTACAGCAACAACTCCAAATCATTCTGGTAGTCTGGAAAAATTGTAAGCCAGTCCCTGTTTGGTTGGCAGCTTGACATGCCCAAAATAGTTAGTGAGTATTCTCAGCTTTCAATACAACAGGACCAGATCTCTGAAACCTGGAGAAAACATTCTTCTTTTGGGAACTGAGGTCTCCAAAACCACCAATCTAAAGGTTTCAGGACACAGTAAAAAGCTTTTAAATGGGTTATTTGATGTTATTAGAGTGGTCACCTCTACCTTAACCTCTTTGTTCTCAGACTCATGCCTTCTGGCTATGGAGGAGATGACGTTGGCCATATATCATATCCTGTAGAACACACACACACCCGGCCGGGCGCGGTGGCTCAAGCCTGTAATCCCAGCACTTTGGGAGGCCGAGACGGGCGAATCACGAGGTCAGGAGATCAAGACTATCCTGGCTAACCTGGTGAAACCCCGTCTCTACTAAAAAAATACAAAAAACTAGCCGGGCGAGGTGGCGGGCGCCTGTAGTCCCAGCTACTCGGAAGGCTGAGGCAGGAGAATGGCGTGAACCCGGGAGGCGGAGCTTGCAGTGAGCTGAGATCGCGCCACTGCACTCCAGCCTGGGCGACAGAGCGAGACTCCGCTCAAAAAAAAAAAAAAAAAAAAAAAAAAAGCACACACACCCCCAAACTCCTCCCAACTGGCAACCATACATGAACTACTCCTTTGGTAGGCCATTTCACCACTCCATTTAGCCAGCTGATTCTGGAGGGTGATACATGGGGTATGACCCATGCATTCTATAGATTTGAGCTAATTGTGTTTGTCTTGCCATAAAAAGGAGTTTCCTGGTTGAAGGCAGTGTTGCAAGGAATACCAAGGTAATTGGTAAGGCATTCTGTTAAACCCATACTTGAGGGAGCTTCCAAAAATATTGAAGAGAAAGGGAAGGCACATCCCAATAGGATAAATTTCTGCCTCCTCCATGTTGAAAGAGTCAAATTTAACCTGCCTGCCACTACTTGCTTGGTTGCTTTCCCTCAGGAATGGTGCCATATCAGGGTCTCAGCATTGGAAAATTGTGAACTCAGCAGTGGTGGTAGTTAAATCAGTCATGGAGAAGAAGGAAGTCTATGTAATTGAATCTGTTCATAGTTTCTATATCCCTACTCCCATTATCACTTTGTACATTGGCCCACTGAGCAAGTACCAGGTAAGCCTGGTAAAGAGTCTGACGTTCATGAGATTACCTTGTCCAGATTACTAAGGGCCTTCTCTACAGTGAATGCCCTCTAGAGAGAATTTACATAGAATACTGTATCATCACATTTTTTGCCAATTCTGAAAGATACATCCTCATAACTCTCCCCTAGACCTTCTGTCACCAGTCATCCAATTTTATTCTTTGAAATCCTTGACCGTATGGCCATTCCATATATCATTACCTCGAGTATCTCTTCTTCCATGCAAAGTACAGTTAAATGTACTAGCTGAATGAAATTCTGGCTGCTGGAGGGATAGCCACTGTATTTCAGGGCCATCTCCCTTAAGTGGACCTGTAAACACTGTAGTCACAGCTGGTATTGAATACCAGGCAGTCTGTTTACAAACCAGATCTGCACTGTTTCATCCTCATCAACTAGTCACTGAGAATACCCCAAGAGGTCCTACAGATGGATTGAAGCAAAAAGATTGAGAAACAGTAGTAGCAGGTATTAGAGACCTCTGAGCTACTTGCTCATACAGTATACTTGGGCTTCCTCAACCAGTGTAAGAAGGCTGCAGGGAAGGAAAATATACCAATGAAAAGCTGTTGTATACATTTTTGATATGTTGAATTAGATAACGCCTAGTTCATGATGCACGATTTGGGCCATATTGTCATTGGGAGTCCTATTGCCTGGTACACAATCTTAACCAAAGTTCATTAGCAAGTAAGGAGTGGCTTTTCAAATGGAGGTTAGTTATTGTTAGAAGACTGCATGTCTTTACTATAAAACCATGAGGGATCTACACACTGAGGCTTCCACTGACAGGGATGTCATACGGCATCTTCATTTGCCATAGACATTTCCAAAAATCATTGCATCTGCTGAATCTTAAGAGTCAAAGGTAGAGGGAGCTTTCATCATGGCAGGAGTATGATGCAGATCCTTTTCTTGCCCCAAACTGCTCTCAAAATGGACAGCCTGTGGATTACCTAGTACATGCACCATAGAAGTATACCCAAATATGGTCTATGTTGCTTCTAAAATCTAGAGAGGCCACCATATTTTGTGCTTCATTTTCACGAAGGAAGGTGCAAGGTGCAGCAATTTCTCACTTACGATGGAGGATCTATTTCAGCATGCCCAGATCACTGGCCCGTAAAATTTTACCAATGCGGAAAGTCCCTGAACTTTCTTGGAGTTTATCTCCTGTTCTATAGCATATACCTCTTACTGAGGCATCTCAAATATTTACTATATCCTTCTCCCAAGTTCGATCAGTGTAATGTCATGAATATAATATTCCAGCTTGATGTTTTGTGGGATGTCAAGATGAACAAGATTTCTCCAGACTGTGTTATGACAAAGAGAGTACAGTTGACTTAGCCTTAAGGTAAGATAATAAAAGTATGTTGCTCCTGCAGTGTGAAGGGAAAAAACCGCTTCTGATTATCTTTGTTATACAAATTACCTTAACCAGAAATCAAGTCCATTGCTTCATACCTAGTGTTGGGGGCTATATTAATATGCTTCAGTAAAGATTGTATAGCTAAAACTGCATCTACAGTTAGCATTATGAAATGATTAAGTCTGCATCAATGCTGTGCATTAGCTGAATAAACAGTTTAAATGGGTGTATAGTATGAATTATCAACCCTAACATCTTTCAGTTTTCTGATGGTTTCACTAATGTCTGTTATTCACCCATAGAATTATTATTTCTTTTAGTGTGCTGTCTTGGAAGAGGTGATAGTTGTAGGGCTATGCTGTCCAATATGGTAGCCACTAGCCTCATGTGGTTACTAAACCCCTAA